GGTGGCAGCAGCCCTCCAGTGAGTGGGACCTTTCCTCAGAATTCCTCCTCACTCACCCTGGGCTCCTCTCCTCTCTGCTCCCCCTCCGCCTTTCCTGGGGGCAGTGCCCCCAGGTCTTGTGCTCGGACGCTGATAATCAAACTGATGTGTCCTCTCTCCTGTTCAGGTTTGGGAAATTGCTCCTGCTCCTCCCGTCTTTGAGGTTTATCACTTCTGAACGCATTGAGCTCCTCTTTTTCCGCAAGACCATAGGGAATACTCCAATGGAGAAGCTCCTCTGTGATATGTTCAAAAACTAATGGAGGTAGAAATAAAATGGGTAAAGCCACTTTGTAAAACAATCTACTGAAGTTAAACATTTGCCTGCCCTGTGACTCAGTAATTCCACCTGTACTTCGCAGAACTGTCCACCAATATATAAGAACTAGAGGCCCAGTGCATGAAATTAGTGCATGGGGGCGGAGGGTCCCTCGGCCCGGCCTGCACCCTCACCAATCTGGGACCCCTCGGGGGATGTCCAACTGCCTCTCGCAATCCGGGTCCTCTGGCTCCTAATCACTTGTCTGCCTGCCTGATCATTCCTAACCCCTCTGCCTACCTGCCTGATTTCCCCTAACTGCTCCCCTACTGGCCTGATCGCCCCTACCTGCTCCCCTGCTGGCCTGATCATCCCTAACCACCTTTGCCTTGCCCCACACCTGGGACCCAGGATTCCCTCCTCCGGCCAGTTGCAAGCACCCAGAACCTGGGCCGGCTTCGCCCAGGCCAGCCACAGCTGCAGGGGACTGTGGGCAGGTGGCTTTGTCTGGGCCGCAGCCGCAGGTGCCCGGGACCGCAGGGCGGGCAGCTTGTCCCTCTCCCAGACCACAGCCACAGGTGCTGGTGCCCAGGACCGCAGGGCGGGCAGCTTGTCCCTCTCTCAGGCCACAGCCCCAGCTGCTGGTGCCTGGGACCGTGGGGCAGGTGGCTTGTCCCTCTCCTGGGGCTGCAGCCTGGCTGGTCCCCATTCCTCTCTTTCAAGCTCATTTGTGCCTGGCTGGTCCCTATTCCTCTGTCCTCAGTGTTGAGTGTCTGAGCCTTTACGGTGTGATGGCATGAGGGTGTGACGACCATTTGCATATTAAATTTTTATTATATAGGATATCCATAGCAGCTTTATTCATAATAGCCCGAACTGTACATCAACAGTATAATTAATAAATTATAGTATAACCATATAGTGAGTAGAAAACAAATAAAAAAGAATGAACCACCAATACATGTGACAACATGGATAAATTTCACAGACATGAAAGTTGAACAAGAGAAGCGAGGCACAAGTTCCACTTACACCAAGTTCCAGAACCAGTGAGACTAATAGGTGGTGATAGAAGTTGGAAGAGTGGTTCCCTTAGGTGGGAGGTGAGATGATTCGGAAGGGGCCCATGGGAGCCTTCTGGTGTGTTTTAGATGTTCTTTATTTTGATCTGGAGGTGGTTTCACAAGTTTATTCATTCATAAACATTATTTAAGCTGTGCACATTACTGTTCTATGTTAGATCTCAATAAAGAAGTAAAAACACAAAAGCAGAAAACAAATGTGCCAGAGCCCTCCTTGTGAGGGCCTGACTGAGGAAGGGGCACAGGGGCCAGAGATCCACTTGGTTTCCACTCTGAGTCAGCATCTATGAATTCAAGCTTCTCTCCAGATGGCATCTCACCATCCCATAGCTTCTCTCGATTTTTCTCCTCCTTATCCCTCCTCACCCCTCCATAGACAAAGATGAGCACCATCCATCTCATAGGCAGGCATTTTTTGTGAAGGGGAATCTCCATCACTTCTTAATTCCTTATGAAGGATAAAGCATAGACAAACCTCACATCATTTTCAAAGACAGACCCAGAAGACCTAGAAAATAATATTAATAAAAAGTTAACATAGCCCTTGCCAGTGTGGCTCAGTTGATTGGGCATCATCCCATGCACCGAAAGGTTGCTGGTTTGATTCCTGGTTAGGGCATATGCCCAGGTTGTGGCCCTGATCCCATGTAGGGGGTGTGCAGGAGGCAGCTGATTGATGTTTCTCTTTCTCCCTCTCCCTCTTTCTATAAAAATCAGTTAAAATATTTTAAAAAATAAAGCTAACATATATCAGGCACTTTCTATACTAGGCAGTGAAGTGGGCACTGATTGTACATTGTTATTTAATCCTCACATTAACTCTGGGGGAGGGACTAAGCACCCCCATATATAAATGAAAAAAACTTGAGGCTTAGAGAAGACTCAACTCTTGTGACTTTACTTAGCTCTGCTCAACTCTGGCACTGCCTCCTCCCCATGCCCCTTCTACCCCTGGAATCCACTGAACAGTCGGTTGCATTTTTTGTCTTCAAAGAAGAAATGCTTGAAATGAAAAAGAAAAAGGTCCTGTGAGGAATCTGTGAAATCCTTGGGGTTCCCCTGCCCTTTAGCCTGTGTACAAATTCTCCTAGCTGACAGAGATGGAGGAAGAATGGTTCAGAAGACTCTTCTTTGGAAATGACAATAGCTAGATTGGTGCCCAGAGATGAAAAAGCATGGCAAATCCTGTGCAGCTTGAGCCTCTTCCAGCTAAGCACTCAAACTAGTGGAGACTCTTCAACTTCCAAAAGCATAAGACTTGCCTCAGTTATTTGGCTCATTTCATGTTGATGCCACAGTGCTACCCAATTCCCTATTAAAAGTTTTATCCACAAGGTTTAAAGACCTATTTTAGAAAGCCTAAGCAAAGGAACTTTGGCAAGAACATAGTTGAAATATGACCAGATGTGCACAATTATTCTACACTCTCCCTTTTTCATTGCAAAGGCAGCCTGCTGAAGTTCACAGGCAGTGTCTGGAATGTAGAAGTGAGCACAGCACTTCTACATTGGGAGATTGCTTGGGATCTCCAGGAGGAAGTCTTGGAGGACTAGAGGAGGTACATAAGCTGGACTGTCTGCGGTCAACCTGGCATCAATACCACCCTCTTCTATAGTCTTTTGTTCATTGCAGAGATTCCAAAGAACTACATTTCCCACGATCCCTTCCCCCATGGGTTGCTGAAGGAAGTAGGGCACTCACATGGGACTTGGAAAGTAAGCAGAAACTATTCTTCGGAGGCAGTTGCAGCTGGATGTGTGGGAAAATAGAGATTTCCAGAGGCCTTCTTTAGAATTGCAGTGGCTTTCAGGCAAACTCTTGAGAACTTTTGACCTTTTGGCCGAGATCTTTATCTTCTTTTTTTTTTGGCTTCTCTGACCTTTGTCTCTCTAGTTCTTCCAATGTGGATCTTAAGCCCCTAATTACTGTATCAAGTCCTTTTCACCTGGAATGTATGGATGGCTTCTGTTTCCCTAACAATGCAGCTCTCAGTCGATCCCAGCATCTATTCAACCTTTTGCTCTAAATTGACCCCACTGGAATTCGAATGGGTAACAAATACTTCTTTCATTGCATCCAGGGCCCTTGCTAGAAGAGAGGATACTATGAAAGCTTTTGTGCCCTCAATGCCAGAAATGTCTTTGGTTATGAAGTACACAGAGGTAGTCCCTGTGGCCTCTCTGAGCCTTTCATTTCAGCTGCAGTTTTCAGATTCGTGAGGCACTTCTCCACCCTTAAGGTAGTATTTAAAGGTAGAAAGGGCAGAGAAAGACTCAAAGATGCCAGAAGCACCCTTCAAATTAATAAATGTAGCCTAGTAGTGGGACCTGGATGTTATGGACGACTAGTCTCCATCTGGTGGGTGTCACTGGCTTTCCCACTAGAATGCAAGCTCCACAGGCGCAGGGAGTTTTGTTTTGTTCACTAATGTAGCCCAAGCAGGACCCATGGGTGCTCGATATTTGTTGAAAAAATGGACAAATGGCAACACTAGGCGTCCGAGATGCCTAAAGATTAAATATCACACGTGTCTTATCTCCTTTCATGGTATGTCACTGGCTCTATGACACTGTACTGCTCCCCACTATAGAAGGAACAATTTTTTAAAAAGTCAGAGTGCTGCTCTCTTTATAACTTGTATCTCCCTGCACCTTCATGCTGTCATCTTCATAATCGGAAAGATTTGTTGTAAATTCAGTAATCACAGGGACAAGTTTTAAAAATGGCACTTCTAGGTCTTATGTGGCCAACTGAAGAAATTTAGAAACAATTCACTGTATCATTATCATTTCTATGTAATTTAATGCAAAAATGTAAATAAAAACTTTAAAAGAAATGGGAAGGATAACCTTAAGAGTTTAAAAACTGAATAAATATAGTGTTAGGGGAAAATTAACATTTTTTTTCCATTTCACCTGACACTTAGTTTGGTATTGGGAAACCCTGATCTCACACAAGGGCTGGCTACCTTTTGTTAGGTGCTGGGAATCTGAGTCAACAAGACAGTGAGTCATGCTTCTGCCTTGAGAAGCTTACCTCTTAAGTTTTTGATGCTACGAATACTGGGAGCTGTTGAGAACACAAGACATCTAACCTAGTTTAAGGGGGAAGAAGAAATTTCTTGGTAGAGTTGTGCTTTACACTGAGACCTGAGGAGTTATCCAGAGAATGAAACCTGGGCAAGATAGGAAAACTAACGTACAGAAAGGACAAATGACTTTCCCAGTCATGCAATATAGTGGTAGAACAAACATGACAAACTAGAATTGGGCCCTCTATTAGCAGATATTGCTACTTCTTTATGGCCTTTTTGGTGAGGATCCTAAATGTAGACTCACTACCTGCTCTACCCAGCTAGCCCTAACCTGAGTCAATGAGGTCTTGACAGCTAGCAGCTAGCACCTATTACAAAAACTAACAGCTTGCACCTCACCTTTACTTGAATTCAGTTGAGTTCCAATAACTACTACTTCAGCACTTTGTCAATTGTGGGCTCAGTCCTTTCCTTGAAAAAGAGAAACATCACTTTAACAAAAATCATTGTTGTTCCCTGGGATCAAGATGGAGCGAGTTGGGGTGGGAGCCAGGATGGTCAGAAAACAAACCACACGTATTGCTGCTTCTGGAAGCTTTTGTTCTTTAATGAGCCATTGGAGTGATTTGTTCATCAAGCTGCTTTTGTGTAGCCATACAGCGCATATCTTGAGTGACACAAACTGGACTCTATACAGATGTATCTTGCTCCCCCACACTCTCCAAAAGCAAAGGGAAATTACAAAGCGCCTGGTGATGGTATTAGGAATGTAATCAATTCCATGGGTGAGATAAATCATTCTTCTTATAGAATTATTCTGTTTAACAGTAAAATATATTTCACAGGATATGTCCTTTTACAATACATAGTCTTTTAAAAATTTACACTCAGCATACTTATAAATTATTTAAACCCATTAAAATAATATAATACTAATCTGTAGTATACACCTTTCCCCTAGTTAAATACAATTACATGGTTCAAAAGGTGCAACTTTTATATGACCTAAGACGACTGATAAATAGGTATTAAGTATGGATGGATAGCAAGGTGATAGGCCCCTTGGTGGGGCTTTTTTTTTTTTTTTTAAGTTTCAACCAAGAGACCAACAAAACCTAATAGATCCATGTCCACACTCATCATTTTGCTGTTACTGTTGAACACCAAATCAAACGTGGGAATGGTTCCAGAAAAAAAGTGGTTAAAAGTATTTTAGGGGCTTAGAAAAGACAAAGGACTCCCACAAATACCGAGGAATTTTACAACCAAGGCTAGCATGGTGTTGGGGAACAGGGCTGAGAAGTTATCACAAAATTATGGGTGACATATGCATTTTTCAACACAGAATGATGCATGTCCCATATCCAGCTCCCCATCAAGGGAAAAAATAAAAGGAGAGGAGGATGAGGAAAGCTGTTTGGACTGTGTTTCTCTTTAAAATTAAAACTCTTAAGCTTTGAACACATCCTGAGAACACTTTCTTCTCTCTGGTTTACCAAAGTGCTTGTGAAATGTACACAGTCATTAGTTACAATTTTAAAAACATCAAGGCCCACAGGCACTGAAGGGGGCCTGCAGCACTTCGCTGGACTTCCTCTTTTCAGCAGGTTTCTGGGATCCTTTGTCTCTGACAGTGAAAAAACCCTCTCATGATAGAACAGGGAAGTCTCTTCTAACCTCCCAGCAGAGGTGAGTGGAGAGCTGCAGCTGGTTTCTGAGGAATGAGAAGGCAGGGCTCTGGTATCCCCTTCCCTGACCTGGGTCCCTTGCCTCTGCAAGGCTCCTACAGGGAAGGCGTACCTCCCCTAGTGTTTTCAGAAGCCCAGAGTGGGAAAATAATTAAAATGGCAGGAAGTACAAAGTGCATTACAAACTAAGCATACCACCTCCCTGAACCTTTCCTGTTTTGCTGTTATAATCATTTGCTTCACTTTGTGGCACCCAATGTGATCCAAATTAGACTTTTCTGATGCTATCACATTTTTCATGATAAGGGATGTGTTGGTTTCACTGGGGAAAATTGAAATCCAGGCTTTGTTTGGGGCCAGGAATGTGTGATAGAACAGAATGCTCTTCAATTTGGAGTATGGGCTCCAAGTATGGGGCCATCCTGCTGCTGCCATGCAGGCATTTTCTTTGAGGCATTTGAGATCAAAGTAAACATGCAAAGCAATAGAAAATACAGATGTGACACATGTTAAGATTAAATATCTTAATCATAAGTGGTTGCAATGCATACAGCATCACTTTGTGGTGACATAACCAGGGAGAGAACCAGTTAAGATCAAATGGAGGGAGACAGAACACTTGGTTCTGACAGTTTTTGAGAGTTATGGCATCATCTCTGTATCAGGCCCACAACACCTATTATCCCATGAGAATAGCAGCTTTCCTTCCTTCAAAGGGAGGGTCCCACACTTGCTCTGCATTTTTGTAATTGTGTGGCTCTCTCCTCCCTACCACCCTCCATTCTGGCAGCTTGTTAAATGACTAGAAATCCACAAATCTAGCAACTGAAAAGCAATATTTTTTATTTAACTTTATCCAAATTCAGGTTTCAAGTCCCTGAGAAAAATTATAAAGTCTCTTAACATCCATTGTCAAGTTCCTATAAAACGTCCTATATGAGTTGTTTTTTAATTGCCAAAACTTATTTTGCAAAAACAATAAAAATCCACAAAAATTTAGAAGAACATGCCAAGATGTGTTCTGCAGGCCATTCCTCTGGGCCAAAGGAAACTGTGCAATAAGGGTACTCTCTCCTTTTGTATGGTATTGACCAATGCCTGGCAAGTGAAGAGCAGCAGTCATGCCCAGCAGAATGCTACTCTCCCAAGAACACTGACACAGACCTGCAGTCTGGCAGCGGCGCCAAGGCAGCAGCAATCCCACTTTCACACAGCCATGCTGGGGATGAATTAGGTTTTCCTCTGGGAAACTTTCCGAAATTCAGATTTTTAAAGGCTTTACATTTATGACTCCTCAGGACAGCCTGGACAAGGTGGCAGATGTTTGCGGGGTATATAAAATGGAACATTTATTCACTAACCATCATCAAGATCCCTTTTCCTAGCTCATTTTGGAACCCAAACCAGGGACAGAGAAGACTCCTGCTGCCTTTAGCTGCCACTCAGAATGATGTTCCAAGTCTCATCTCTGGAGTTCGACAACCACCACTTTAGCAGTGGCATGAGGTTCAGTGTCATGTAACAGGAGAGACTCTGCCTTAACATGTCTTAATAGTTCTGTAACTTCAAATTCAAAAAGCATTAAAAGGAAGAATAACCAAAATTCAGGTAACAGTGCATGTGGTAGTTAGACAAGATCCATTTAGTAACTTTAAAAATAAACATTTTCACATATTTATCTCAAGAAAGAGGAGCATGTTTCATTTCTCATATATTATATATAAATAGCAGAAATAGATTTCGAATCCTACTGATGCTAAGAAGCTTAAAATGCTATTATAACTCATGTGTACGGAGACACCTAGTGGTGAAGATGGTTTGACTTGTGACTTGTCCCTCAACCCAGGGATGTGTGGCTCTCACCTCCCTGTCCAATGATCCCTAATCTTAGGAAGAAATTCCATGGGAGGAGGGAAGCATAAGGTGAAAAAGAAATATGCATACTATACATTTATATTTACAGTAAACTTCAGTAACCAGAATATTAACAAAAGTAGCTTCAAGTAGTCCTTGATTTTTTAAAAAGTCTATTTAATACTGATGGTCTGAGGAAAAAATAAGTTAGATGGGTCATCTGAAAAAGTTCTCTCTTATTTTTTGGCAGCTTTCTGTAACACTTATTCATGTAGTATTGTGTTGTGAATGTTTTGAGAGAATTGATTAATTGGTCATTTGTCTTTGAGTTCTAGGTTGAAATCTACCAGCAGATGAATATGTGATCTTCAGTTCAATCTACACAAAGAGAAAAGCGTGGATGGATTAGGGTGAAACCCTCATGTTTAGTGTTCACCATATCTCTGGGTCATTTAAGAAAATTAGAGGAAACTGATTCTAGGACCAGAGAATATGAGAACAGTATGGCTACTGAAACTTCAGCCCATGCAATATATTTGGCAGGAACTAACTAGAAGTTAAACCAGCATTGATTATTATTACATCAAACATCATAAAAAAACAAAACTTCTACTCTCTTCTTCATTGTGTAACCAGAGGTCTGAGACATGCTCTGATGGCTTAATGGAAACAATTGCCTTTTTACTTTCCCCAGAATATAACATGAAGTGTTTTTCAAAAAAATCTTAAAATAGAGGGCTTAGCCTTTTTTTTATAAATCCTTGGGGGAAAAAAGTATATTCTACCCCAGCTCCTAACTATCCCAAAATAAACTGAAAGGCTTTTGCTTACATGGTTAAGAAAGATTTACATGTTTTCTTCCAAGGCCAGAAATCAATGCGCCCCTCAGGCCCACAATGTGCTCACCAGTTCCACACCCACCTCTGGAAAGGGAAAAGAGGATGGAAGAGAGGCAACTACAAAGACCTCCACGACTGACCCAAATCCCCAAGTCCTAGCTAGGTGGCTTTGTTAGTGAAATCTCTGGTCAAATACTGCAGCCAAGGCACAGCTGGCACCATCCCGGCAGGCTTCAAAGAGGCCTTTCCACTTCCACAGGAGGCCCAGGAATTTAGCACACCAGGTCTTGGTTGTATGCTTGGGCAAGAGGCTGGACCTCACTTAGAATGGACTATTGTGGATGAGGCAATGAGAAGAGGCCTAAAAATGAGATGTGTTTACTACTCTGCAGCTATGAAGGAATATACATCTGCTAGTTCAGACCATAAACTCATTATTTCCAAAGAGAGCTGGCTGTTGGGTGGAGCTGCAGTCTGGGTCCACAGTTTTCCTGTGGCCAGACCCCATGGTCCCCTCTGGGGTCTCTTTGGTTTTCTGAGGTGAGTTTTTCACATTCTTTAATTTTTGTTTGCCCTTTTCAGGGTTGAAGGTTCCTCTGCTGATGAACTGAGGTCTGTCTTCTAGGGATTTGGTCAGGCCCAATGGTCCCTCCATTTCCAGGGCCTCACCAGCTGAGCCAGCTCGGTAGAATGGAGATTTGGAATAAATCTGAAATCGTTTTCTGGTCCCATGAGAAGAGACTGAAGAGTCCATTGAATCCAAAGAGTCGTGCTGCTTTTTTAGCTGCTTTCTCAACTTGCTAGAAGGTGCAGACTTGCCAGCTGCCCTCAGGGAGCTAAGAGCCAAGCTTCTCTCTAATCCAGAGAAGAGACCAAAGCTGTAAATGACAGTTCCCTCTAAAGCATATCATTATATAATGAACAGGCATGACTGTTCACACGTGAAATGAGGTGGGCTAGATTTGGAGGGTCCAGGCTAAACTACTTTGTGCACACACATAACTCAAAAAAAGCTCACCATCCATTTCTATACACATCATTTCAGAATCAACTCCAATGAAGTCTGGAATTTGACTATGTCATTAGGAGATGCCTACAATTGTCACTGTCATTTTAAACTACCCACTCTTAGAAAATGGATCATGGGTCAGTAAGACAACATTGTTGTGATTATTGGCTTTTCTCTTTGGCAAAGTAAATACTAGAGAAAACATTAAATTACCAAAAGCTACATTACATTGAAGGCTTCATCTAATGAATAATTTATATAAAAGCTTCACAAAGATCATTATTTTCCAACTCCTAAGGACTCTGTCTTAGCTTGGGAATCCTTAATCCTCCTTTGCACTAATGTGTTCATTTACCTGATTTCTCAGAGATGGCACCTTCAGACTCAATATTTAAGTTTTCTGAGCTATCGGCGGTCCCAATGGAGGCCTCAGACTCAAGGGTTTCATCATCAGAGGCACGGGGTTCCAGTATAAGCATCTCAAATGTTAGCTCCTCCCTGTAAGATACAATCAAGAAATCCATTAGTATTTGATAAGAAGTGGAAGGAAGTCAACAGGAGAAAAGACCTTCCATAAAAGTCAGGAATTTAAGTAGCAAAACCAGTTACATTTCTTACTGTTCCCAATCAGGGTAGTGATAAGGCTCTGAAAGCCATAGTAATGGTGAAGGCTAACACTGTATGTACTAAAAGACAAAATGCAGCAAAGGCTGGACCCATAAAGGGCCAATGGTGAGGTAGGGAAAGATGCCGAAGCTGTAAGATCTAATAATCAGATTAGTGTTCTAAATTTACTCTAGCCCTTACCTGGTTTGGCTCAGTGGATAGAGCATGGGGCTGTGGACTGAAGGGTCCCAGGTTCAATTCTGGTCAAGGGCACATACCTGGGTTGCGGGCTTGATCCCCAGTTGGGGGTGTGCAGGAGGATATTTTTTCCACATTCACTCTAAACTCGTTTATAATGCCAAAGGAAGGAACTTTCTTCTCTCTGGTCCTGTTTCCTCATCCACAAAACAAAGAGGTTAAACTAGATAATCTCTAAGATTCCTTCCAGCTCTTTAACTATTTTCCATGAAACTTTACTATATTCTCTACCTTGACCACAGAGAAACCTCTGGATGAAGTAAAACACTGACTTGATCTTTTCTGTCCTTGAAGCTTAAGCCATCTCCACTTATGATATTTTCTTCTCCTCTTCATCAATCACCCACCTATCTCAGTCATGCCCCCTCAGTCCCTGAAGTCTTTGGTACATGGCTCCTAATCTTGCTTTTCCAACTACTGCCTGATATCACCCTAATCTACTTCAATCAATATCTTTGTAACCGCTCACTTTAATACCCTACCACCAAAGTTCCTTTATGTCTGCAACTTCTAACAGCCTTCCCTCCACTTTATATAGGCAACTTTCTCCAATGGGAAGATCTGGAATTATACCAGCTCTGAATCTAACGCATACTCTACTTGCCCACAAACTCCTTGTCATTCCAATTCTTACTTCCTTTTTCATCTCCTCCCTTTCAAAGCCCTTTAAGCTTCACTTCCACTACCTAGCTTAGACAGTCATTTCAAAGATAATCTCATTGCTGCAATTACCACTGTCATAAGCCATGTGTATTCACACCTCTGAGACAGTGCTCATACTTTTTCCTTTCTCTAGAAAGATTTTCCCCTTCCTACAAATTCCTATTCATCCTTCAATATCTCTAATACCATTTTCATCAGAGCTGAGTTAGGTCCTCTTTTTAGATCATTGTTGTATCAAATAGCCCAGACAATGTACCTTACTTTTGCTTTATCATGTTCTGCCAAGCTGAGCTCCAGCTGCTTTTTTAGCTTGCCTAAATTCTAGACTCAAGCCTGGCAAACAAAAAGTACTTTGACAGACTCATATCCCCACATGAATCAAGCTCTCAGACCTGGGATTCTGGAACTCAGGAACAAAAATCCCCTTAAAACTTAAGAGTCAACATCATCAGTCAAGATCAGTACATGGTACCTTCAGGGAGAACCATGGGATGTTCATATTATCCCCAAGATGTATTGTTACCATTTTTGCTCCAGTGACAGCAAAGGTTACAAAGCTACTCATTTGTCCCTCCCCTAAATTACAACCAATTTTTCTACCCAGTATTCCAGCACCCATTAGTGTTGCTGCCCTACTCTGACCATCTAGTTGCTGGCCCCATGGCTATATTGACCATTAGACAACATCCTTCCTTCATGGAGTTCTGAATAATGCCCATTCTGAGAAGGGACTTTGTCTTAACCTGGGAATCTTTATTCCTCCTTTTCAAGATAAATCTGTTCACCGAAGCTGGTCTCTGACCTGTTAGAATCTTGGCTAAGATTCCTTGACATACCCTGTCCCAGTCAGCCTGTCCTAGTCATCACTGTAGCAGCTTCAAGTCTCCATGCTCATGGAGCTTCCTTCAGGCGACGTATCTTTGTCATCTCCACATCCTCTGTATCACCTGATGATACAGTGCTTGACTCATAGGAGATACTTAATAAATAAGGAAATATAAAGGACAGAAGGAAGGAAATGAAAACAAATAAACTGGTCATTCTCTTTCCTCCTGGAAACTCACTTCTCTTTCTGTAGGTTCTCAATCTGTTCAGTCAGCACTCTCTCCTCCTGCTGCATAGCTGCTTGCTGCTGTTCTGTGATGTCCATCTCCATGGCTGCCTCACTAGTCAAGGTCTCTTCTGGGACATCAGACATAGAGGGCAACCGAACTACAACAGGAGAGGATGGACTTGCATAGTTTCCTCGACGAAGACACCCCTTTCCCTACAAAGAAAAATATATGTTGTAAAGTAAATTGAGTGCCTACATCAGTTTTACGTGACCCATTTCGGATAACAAGAGTACTTCCATCATACCAGGCGAATGTTAGAAATAAATGTTAGAAATAAATTCTGTAAGGCCCAAGATACTTAGTGAGATACCATCCATCAAATACATTTAGATTAAATATTTCTTTCAAGAGCACTGGGAAATGAATACTTCAGCACGTGGGAGTATAAGGACACATTGTGTACTGGGATGTGATTCTTCTTGTAAATATAGGCTGCATCCACTCCAAACTAAATATCCATACATGGCTATTTAAATGTAAATCAATTAAAATTAAATAAGTAAAAATTTAGTTCTGCATTTTCACTAGCGACATTTCAAGTTCTCAATAGTCACAGGTGGTTAGAAGCTACCATATTGAACAGTGCAGATATAGAACATTTCCATCATCACATAAAGTTCTGATGGATAACAATGCTCTTCACCTTTAACTGTGGAATGCACAATCTCTCTAGGAAGACTATAAAAACATGTCCCGAAACTCAGTTTCATTTTAAAAAAAATCATTTCTATATCACAGGGTGCTGGTGAGAGAGATTCTCTGAGAACAACTCAAGAAATTTCTTTCTTGAGATCAGAGGGGGGAAAAAATTCTTATTACTTTTAAATTGGTTACTTTATATATAACTTTAGCTTCTGATAATGGCAGATTAGGTATTTCAGATTATCTCAGCAGGAGTGCCGAGAACAACTGGACCAAAAACACAAAAAACCCAACATATTCTTAAAGGCACCAGAGAGCTAACAAGGTAGGCCAAGGAAAGGCTAGCCCAGCACTGCGGGCTAATCTAAATTTAAGAAAAGGTGGCTGAGAGTCTGAACAGAGCTTCTGACAGACTATATATCAAGGGTCAAATCTGGCCTTGTGCCTGATTTTGTAAAAAAAAGTTTTATTGGAATACATTCATGCTCATTAATTCACACATTATCTATGGCTCTTCTGCAGAACAATGGCAGCATTAATTGTTGCAACTAAAACTGTAAGGTCTACAAAGCCTAAAATATTTACTCTCTTGTCCTTTTCAGAAAGAGTCTGCCAACCTATGGGGTAGAGAATAAAAGTGGGAGTCCAGAACCGCACAAGGGTGTGGGCTCCATGCCTGACACTGGGATCCCCAAGATTTATATCCTAGATCTCAGGGTAAACTGAAATTATAATAGTCCTTGCAGACACTGCAGTCTATCTTCAAGTCAGTTGAATAGGGCAGAAAATTGTAATCCCGAAATTGAATTAAAGTAAGCCAGATTTTTAGTGCCCTAGCACCTGGCAGAAAAAGTAAAAATACTATTTAGAGGAAAGAAACATCATCTCAGGCCTCAAAATATTTTTAGAAATAATTTTTTAAATACTGTGTCTGACACACAATCAAAGGTAACCAAGAACAAAAGGAAACAAGACAATGGAAATGAAAACCAGTAAAAACAACAGAAAACAGAAACCCTCAATGATTCCAGACATTGTACTATAAGACAAACTTAAAATAACCATGCTGAAGGAGATAGAAATACATTGTTGAATTAATGGACCAGAAGAAAATATAAAGAATCAAGCAGAAACAAAACAAAACAAAACAAAAAACTTTCAGGAAAAATTCAGAAAAGAAGGTAAACAACAGGACACAATAAAAAGACCTACTATATGTATAAATAAAAAGGAGAGAAGAGCGATTCTGTAGAAGAAATATTGAAGAGATAATGGCAGAGCATTTTCAAGACCAATTAAAGATGTCAACCTACTGACTAAAGAAAGCCTTCAACCTATAAGAAAGATACACTTAAAAAGTCCATACCCAGACACAATTGCTAAAAATCAAAGGCAAGAGAAAATCTTAAAAGCAGTAAGAAAAAAAAATGTAGCTGCAATAAAGAAGCAACTTTTCAATAGAAACAATGGAAGCAGAAAATAGATATTTTCAAAGTGATGAAAGAAAAAAGTAATTGCCAATCTAGAATTCTATACATAGCAAAACAACTTTCAAGAATGCAATTGCAATGAAAACATTTTTAGTCAGTCTAAGAGAATCTGTCACCAGCGGACCCGCACTAAAGAAGAGATAGAAAATGACACAAGAAGAAATGTTAGTGAGGGAGAATGAAGAACAATGAAAATAGTAAATATGTGAGTGAATCTAAATGAAAAGTGACTGCATAAAACATAAGAATAATACATTGGATTAAAAATATACAGATAATTTAAAATACAAACAGCAACTATATCATAACTAAAGCATATTAAAGTTCTTGCATTATCTTGGAAAAAGATAAAAGTACCAATGAATAGACTTTGGTAGGTAATGGATTTTTATTGTAACCTTTAGTTTAACGACTAAAAGAAGCGTAAAAGAGTGTAAAACCTTTTAAACTAACAAAAGAAAAAAGTGGAATAATAAAAAATAGTCAAAAGAAAAAGGCAAAAAGGAACAAAAAAGGCAAGAAAGAAAAGGAACATGTGTCAGGTAAAGTAAAAGCACATCATAAAATAATAGATTTAAATCCAAATACATCAGTTATTACATTAAATGTAAATTGATTAAATGCTCTAATTAAAAATTTGATGATTATCAGACTGTATTTTTAAAAAAAATCAAACTATATGAAGTCTACAAGGGACACATATAAAACATAAGAATTCAGAAAGGCAGAGAATAAAAGGATGGAAATAAAAGGCATACCATGTCTAATCAAAAGGAAACTAGTGTCACTATTTTAATTCTAGACAAAGTAAACTTTAAGGTAAGAAGTGTTACCTGTGATGAAGAGGGATATTTCACAATGACAAAAATTCAAATTATGAAGAAGATATAACATTATTTCCAAATTTGCAAATATCCATTTCTGAAGAAATGGCTTCAGAAATTTAAAGTACTTTTCTATCTGGCCGCAGCCATCACAGGTCTTAAAACATTAGCAGACTCATAAAACCTCTTAAGTCCTAAAATTCTTTCCACTTAAAAATCTTTTTTTTTAATATATTTTATTGATTTTTTACAGAGAGGAAGGGAGAGGGATAGAGAGTTAGAAACATCGATGAGCGAGAAACATCGATTAGCTGCCTCCTGCACACCCCCTACTGGGGATGTGCCCGCAACCAAGGTACATGCCCTTGACCGGAATCGAACCCGGGACCCTTTGGTCCGCAGGCCGACGCTCTATCCACTGAGCCAAACCGGTCAGGGCTCCACTTAAAAATCTTAAACCATCTATTTTGTGTGTAAAGGTTGTTCAACTTAAGGAATAAACTTAAAAAAATACATTTAAAGTAAAATATTGACAAAAATACTCAAAGAAATTGACAAAGCTATAATCGTCACAGAGAAAACAACTGTGTACAAACAAATCAGTAAGCTATGGATCTGAACAACTTAAAATAAAGTGATAATAACAGACATACAGAATTCAGTATCTAACAACTATAAAACACTCGTTATTTTAAGGCACATACAGCAAAGACAATGCATTTTTTAGGGTTGAAATAATTTATCTGACCTTTAAAGTAATTTAAAATAAGTTTACTAACAATACAATTATAAGGGGAAAACTAAAAACACCTATATATTAAGAAATAGACCTCTAACACACTCAGAGTCAAAGAAGAAATCACAATGGAAATTAGAAAATATTTTTAATTAATCAACAATATCAAAGTCTGTCAGATACAGTTTAACCCTGCCTACCTTTAAATTATAGCTTTATATATGTATTTTTCTCTAATAAGCAACAAATAGAAAAGGTTAAATTTTAAAGTAAGCATTTTTTCCCCAGGAACAGCAAACTAAATAAAGAACAACAAAATAAATCCAAGGAAAGTAAAAAAAATAAAGAGAAGAGTAAATAAACATTAGAAAAGAGAGGACAAAATCCAAAATGTAGTTCTTTGAAAAGACTAATAAACAAGTTAAAATCCTGTCAAGATGAAGATAAATAGAGAAAATTCACAAGTAACCAAAGGCAGAAATGAAAAAGGAACATCATACAAAACTTATAGACATAAAAAGAATAAGAGGCTACTATGAACAACTTTGTCAATAAATCTGAAATTCTATACAAAAATATAAGTGGAGAAATTCTAAGAAAATCAAGTAATTAATACTGTCAATAAAGAAATACAAAAAAGTGAATAATCTTATCAACTGAATCCATAAATTCATACTTTCAAGATAGAAAACTCTAGGCCTGTATGATTTCATTAGCAAAAAAGAAGAAATAACATACAAATCACACAAATTCTTTACAGAATTATAAAAAGGACTATTCCCCAACTCATTCTTAGAGGGCAGCATAACCTTGATATCAAGACACAAGAATATGGCCCTGGCTGGTATGACTCGGTTGGGTGTCATCCCACGCACCAAGAGGTTGCCAATTCAATTCTTGATCAGGGGATCTGCCTGGATTGCCAGCTTGATCCCTAGTAGGGGGGTGTGCAGGAAGCAGCTGATTAATGTTTCTCTTATCAGTGTTTCTGTCTCTCTTTCCCTCTCCTTTCCCCTCTCTCTAAAATCGATTAAAAATCAAAGACATAGCAAGGATATGAAAAGTAAGAACTATTATAAGACAATTTTACTCATCAACACAGGTACAAAAACTCTAAACAACTTACTATAAACTAAATCAAGCAATATGTAAGAAGGATATCACCTCATGACTAAGTTGGATTTATTGCGGTAGTACAATGATGGTTTAACATTAGAAAAACACTTGGTATAATACGACATATCTACACTAATAAAAGAGAAACATGGTAATTACCATACGACCGCTACCCTTCCCATTGGCTAATCAGCATATCCTTATGCAAATTAACTGTCAGCCAAGATGGCGGC